AATCCATGCTGATTGCCCCTGAGCATCATTTCTGATGCCGGCCCATCACAAATGTGCTCCTTGATGATCTTCTCAAAGAGTTTCCCCAGGATTGAGGTAAGACTGACGGGCCTATAGTTACCCGGGTCCTCCCTCTTCCCCTTCTTGAAGATGGGGACCACATTTGCTGGGATGCCAGACTGATGGACCCGGTGCCCAGAGTCGGGTACCGCCGGGTGCTGTGGTGTGAGCCTGCCCAGACACAGCCCCACCAGCTGCTCAGCCCTGACTAGAGAGACCCCCTCTCTAGGGCCGTGGGAGCACCTGGTGCTGTGCCGCCTCCGCCCTGGGTCTCTCTGACGAGGCTGCCCAGAACGCGCTGAGCTGAGACCCCCCATCCCTCTCGACAGTGCTCAGCAGAGACGCCCTTCACTCTCTACTGTCTGGAGACCAAGTCCTTCACTGCAGGAGCCCCAGTGACAACAAAGGAAGGAGCTACAGCGGGGACGAGCTGGGCCCCGAGGCCGGCGTTCAATGCACTGCCCTCAAGGCGGGGGGCTGCATATCCCATTACCCATCCCCTGAGCCCGGCTGCCTCTTGATCCCACACACACAGATGATCCTATTCTCTTCCTCCTCGTGGTAATATTAGATAAAGGATGAAAGGAAGCTCCCCACACAGCTGCCGGTCCCTGCGCACAGGTGACAAAGGCTGCATTCACTCCTCATCCCTGCAACTGAGCTCCTACAAAACCCACCAAGATTAAGTCTAATTCCCAGTGAGAGCCGAGCCTTCGTCTCTGTTCAGCGAGCTGAGCTGTGGGGGCAAGGGCAGAGAAAAGCAGTCAGAAGAGACACCGTGATGCTATTGCCAAGCCAAAGGAATAAGGATTTAGTGGCAAAATACAGGCAAGACTCCATCAGCACCAGTGGGAGCAGACGGTGGTGCCCACAACCCAGGGCCTCGGCTGGCACAAAGCCGCAGGCTCCCATCTCGGCTCTGATTTCGAGGCTTTTACCTTTGCAGGGCTCTCTAACCGGCTCCAGCTCACGGAGGGTCCTTACCTGCCCCGGGGGCCAGCAGCCAGCTGTACAGGTAGCCTGCAGCCAGCGAGTAGTAGAGAACAAGTCCCCTCTGCCCATTCACCGTCTCCAGGACCTGCTCGATGGTCACTGGAGAATAGGGGTCGGAGTCCTGCTGCCCCGTCTGACGCTCCACCAGCAGATCCGCGAAGGCCCTTGTCCTCCCTCTCTCTGCCACGGCCAAGGCTTCATCGTGGTGGCCTGAGAAGAAGAGCAGCAGGTTAGCGATGGCAGCTGGGCCCAGCCCCCGTACAGCCCAGAGGGAGCAGAGCAGCGACTGCCCTAGCCAAACAGGGCCCTGTGAAGAACCACCCGCAGGTTACAGGTGGGGAAACTGAGGCACAGGGAGGGATGGGATTCAGGAGCAGAGGCCAAACCCCAGAGCAAGCAGACAGCTCGGCCCCGCTCCCGCGACCCCCTTACCCAGGCTGACAAGGACCCGTTGCAAGGCCTGGTAGGACGACGTCTGCAGGTCAAAGAGCGACAGCTTGTAGTCAGTGCTCAGCTGCGCCTCGTGCCGGATGGTCTCAAACAGTGCAGATGCCCTGTAGAGCTGGGAGGGGAGAGGGACCTGGTGATGCCCTCGGCCCCTGCGGCACCAACGTGCTCTCAGCTGGACAGGGCCACGGTCTCCCCGAAGTGGCGAAGCCCAGCCGCGCAGCAGGGGATGAGAGCATCTCCTGCCACAGCCTACCTGGTGCTGCGACTCCTCCAGGTTCCCGCTCGCCCAGAGGGAGAGGCCCAGGCCGTGGCGGATTTTGGCTTCGTCCTCTCTGCGGCCCAGCTGCTCCGCCAGCCTCAGGCCTGGAAGGGAAGCGGAGTGAGCGGGACCCCGAACAGCGCAGTGGGGCTGGGGGCAGCGGCTGGAGGGAGCACCAGAGACAGGTGTCTCATGTCCCCCCCTGCCACAGGCCGTGGCACACGGCCTCCATCTCACAGCTCTGATGCTGGGCGGACTAGTGTCACCAAAGCCATCGCCCGTCTCCCCTTGGCTGGAGATGGCTCTGGTGGCACTGCTGCTGTTGTCCCCAAGGCAGCAGCAGGTGGGGCGCCCCGGGGAGCAGCGCTGCAGGGCCGCGTTTCATTCCCCACCATCGCCAATTGAACTGAAATCCCCTCGGCACACCGGCATGCTGCCAAGGTCAATTCCAGGAAATCCAGGCTAACTGGAGTAATTAATCTATCAGTCTGCGGCAGAGCTCCCTCGGCTCGCCTTCTCCATCGCGCTGCTGCCACCAGGAGCTGACGCTGCTCGGGCCTGGGCCGCGCTGCAGCCGCAGAGGCTCCGCGCTGGCCGAGGCAACGGCTGCCTTCCCTGCGGCCACTCTACGTGACCACGCTCTCTGCCCTCGTCTGCCTCACCGCCCCACTCACACGCACGCTGGGAGAGCGCGGGTTTGCAGGTCTTGTTCCTACTCGACGCCTTGAAGAAGGAGGAGCTGGCTCCGAGGCCACGGGAGCCGGATCCTGGTACATACAACCTTTGTGCCCTGTCCCGGGTTGGAAAGTCACCCGGGAAGGAAGTGTCCAGGACAGGTCGGCTGAAGCCTGCTGGGGTCAGGACTCAGGCCGAGCTAGTCCCAAGGTTCCCAGGAAGCTGCAGACCCACTTCTGCTGCTGGTTCCTCTGCGAGGCTCTGCCAGCCTCGACCAGCTACCGCACAAAAGCCCGTGGGGCTTGGTTGCCAGCAGGGCAGTGCCAGGGTGGAGCATGCTGGCAGCTGCAGAGCCTGGCATCACAGCTATGACGTGCAAGCACACGCTTGCACACGCTCTCTCGCCACCCTCTCAGCCATCTCCGCCCTCCACCCCGATGCCCCTTGCCCGCCCTGTCCCTCCGCGGGCACCGGGCTGCCTACCTTCCTGCAGGTACATGACGGCCTGCGAGTAGTTCTGCAAGGCGTGGTGCGTCCGCCCGAGGCTGCTGTAGGACAGCGTCTTGGCCACCAGGTCGTTCATCTGGGCAGCGATGCTGAGGTGCTGCTCCTGGTAGACCACGGCCCTCTCGTAGGTGCCCAGCGACTCGTAGGTGAGCCCCAGGTTCCCGTAAGCCCGGCCCTGGCACGTGGGGTTGTTGGTCTCCTCAGCGATCTGCAGGTCCAGCTGGTGGTACTGCAGCGCCGTGTCATACTCGCCCATCTGCTGGTAGACGCCCCCCAGGCCGCAGGCCGCGTCGCTCTCCAGGGCCCGGTCCTTCATCTCCCGGGCAATGTTGAGCTGGCGCTCCAGGCAGGAGATGGCCTGCTCGTAGTTCCCCAGCTGGCTGTGCAGGCTCCCCAGCTCCCCGTAGGCCTGCGCCTTGTTGAAGGCTTCGCCCAGCTCATGAGCCACCACCAGCCGCTTCTCGAAGCACACGAGCGCCTGCTGCAAGCTGCCCATGGCCCTGCGGGGACAGCAGCCACGTCACCCTGCATCCGGGCCAGGACGGACCCATTGCACCCTCCTGCCCCACCAGGGCTATGGGGCGACTGCCCGGGTGTCCTGCAGCCGGCACTGGGAGGGAGGCCTCCCCTCTGCTTCCAGAAGGGCCGCAGCAGCTCCACTGCACACTGCATCGGGGCCACAGCAGAGCTCGAGCAGCCTTGCCCTCAGCCCCAAGCCAGCACCGCCGTTCCCGCTGTGCCCCTTCTACACCCCCCCACCCCACCCCAAACACGTGCCCGTGCACCCCGGGCACCTGCATGAGCCCCAGGACATGCCCAAATACGTGGATGTGCATCTTGTGCGTCTGTGCACACACCTCTTGTGCCCACAGCCAATGCATCTTGTGTCCCCTGTGCAATCAGCCCTACACGCACACACACTGCTCCTACAGCATGTGCACACACCTCCCTACTCACACCCAAGCACTAGTGCCCCCCCTCGTGCTGTGTACGCGTGGATGTCCAGCACATGGACTCGCTTCCACGTCTCGGGCCAATTCCCTGGTACCAACCCATGTGGGGAGCATGTGCCCTATGTACCGCACGTGACACGGGTCCATGCAAAGCACCGCACGCCCCACAGAACAGAAGCACCACCCTGGGCACGTCACTCATTGCTTCCACTGTGTTTTTCTCAACCCCAGGCCCTGCGGCTGGTTACCTGTGCCCGTTCCCCAGGCCCCGGTAGGCCTTGGCCTGGTCCTGCATGCGATTCAGGCTCTGCGCTACTGACAAGTACTGCTCGTAATACTTGATGGCTTCTTCGTAGTCCCCCAGCGCCTCATAGCAGTCCCCCAGGTTCCCGTAGGCCCGGCCTCGGTCCAGCACCGCCTCATTGCCGCTGAGCTGCTGCAGCATGGCCAGCTGCTGCTCGAAGTAGCCGATGGCTTCCTCCATGACGTTCATGTTCATCTTGGTGATGCCCATGTTGCCGTAGACCTGGGCCTCGATGCTGGGGTCCTTCAGCTTCTGCCCGAGCTCCAACTGCTCCTCATAACACTTGAACGCCATGGTGTACTTCCCCAGGGACATGTACACGGCCGCGAGGTGGCCGTGGGCTCGGCACTCGCCTGGCATGTCCCCCAGCTCCTGGTACACCTCCAGCTCCTGCGTGTGGTAGCCCAAAGCCTTGTCGCACTTCTGTATCATGCGGTAGGCAGAGCCCAGGGCTGCGTAGGCGCTGGCCTCCAGCCTCTTGTCCTTGACGTGATGGGCCAAGCCCAGCTGCTGCTCGTAGAACTTTATTGCACCGTTTACATCCTTTTTACAGACAAAAATGTCCCCCAGGTTCCCCAGGGCGCGGAATTTGGCCTGGGAATTGTTCAAGGACTGGGCCAGGGACAGCAGGTACTTCTGGCACTCCTCGGCCCTGCCAAAGTCCGTCAGAGCCTTGAAGGCCAGGCCCAGGTTGCAGTAGGCCTTGGCTTGGCTCAGCTTGTCGTGCAGGTCCTTGGCTAGGGCCAGGTCCTGCTCATAGTACTTCACCGCCTCCTCATAGTTGCCCAGGCAGTAGTGGGCATAGCCCAGGTTGTGGCAGACCTTCCCCTCGCCCTCCATGTCCTGCAGCTCGGGGGACAGGCGCAGGTACTGCTCGTAGTAGGGGGCAGCCTGCACGTACTCCCCGCGCGAGCAGTGGAAGTTGCCCAGGTTGCTGAGGGCCCGGGCCTCGCTCTGGATGTCCCGCAGCTCCCGGGCAATGTTGAGGTGGTTCTGGTAGTGCTGCAGGGCCCGGTCGTGGGCACCCAGAGCTTGGTAGGCCACCGCCAGGTTCCCGTGCGTGGAGGCCTGGGAGGCCCGGTCGTTCACCTCCATGGAGATCTGCAGCTCCTGCCGGTGGTACTTCACCGCCTGGTCGTACATGCCCAAGGCGTTGTAGGCGTTGCCCATGTTGCCGTAGGCCCTGCCCTGGGCAGCGTAGTCGTTCAGCTCCTGGGCGATAGACAGATGGGTCTTGTGCAGTTTCAATGCAGTGTCGTAGTCGCCTTTCATCTGGTGGATTATCCCTGCAAAGCAACAGGAGTAGCTGAAACCATTGCTACGCTTCCCTGCAGCACCAGGCTTAGTCCCCGAACCGCCCCCCAGCATGACCCACGGCTACCCGCACGCCCTGGTGCTCTGCAGGGCCCATCCTCTCCCCTTCCCAGCCAGGCGTTGGAGTGCCACACCTGGGCTAGCCCCTGCCCTCCACACCCAGGGGAGAACCGCCGCTCCCCTGGCATGGAGGAACCGCAGCACCGAGGCGGCGGCGAGGATCCCGCTAGCGCAACTGGGAGCCTGGAGTGCAGGGCTTCAGGACCCCGGGGCACAGACCCAGGACAGCAGATGCAGCAGGTCCCAGTGCCAGAGCCAGCAGGCAGCCCCCGGGGAAGGGGCAACACCCCTGGGCAGGGAGGCATGGTGGAAGCAGGGACAGGTGCTTCGTCTGTGCCTGCTCCACCAACGGCCCCAGCAGGCTACAGCCTGGAGCCTGCGGCAGCTCAGGCAGAAGCACAGCAGCTGCGAGAAGGCAAACGGGGGGCGGCATTGGGGTCCTGGGCTTGCCTGCGGATGGGCGCAGCACTCGGGCAGCCCGTCCCTGACGCCCTCGGCTCCACGCTCACACAACACGCAGACAGGCGGCCTCCCAAGCGGGGCTGCAACACAGCAGCTGGAATTGGCTTTGTCGAGGCTGTTGGGGCCTCGCAGGTTCATTTGTTAAATCTGTGCCGCACTGCACCCCCCGAGCAGGGGAGCATGAAGGGCTCTGGCTGGATCTGCCGTGCTCCCAGCAAAGCGAGCCAGTTGCAAGCTCTGCTGTGACGGGGTTCAGCTAACGACCCTGGCTGCTGCTGGCCGTTCTCCGCTTCGTTTCCACCGTGATGGGAACACGCGGACGGGTCTAAGCCGAGGGCTCTCCAGACAGGCCAGCGCCCCGCACAGCCCTGCCAGATCCCCTCCATCCTGCCACTGCTTTCCCAGTCACCCCACAGTCCTCTCCCACTCTGCCTGCCCTGGGACACTGAGACCCTGCAGCCTCGACCCCGTTACTCCGGTCCCAAGGGCCCTGTTCCCGCTGGGCCAACCCTCGGACCCCGGGGTGCCCACAGGAAACCAGGACCGGCCCTGCCCTGCCCTCTCTGGGACCTGGGGCGCAGCCTCCAGGGTCCCCCCACTGCACCCTCCAGCCTCACAGTCTCCAGTCTGACAGCCAAAGCAAGGAGCAGAGACACCGCAGCATCCACAGCCTTCATGGGAGAGGTGCGGGTGTGAGCGCCAGACACCCGCCCGGCCCTGCCGCAGGGTCCCTCGCCTGGGGTCAGGGGGCCTTGGCCACGCCAGTGACCTCCCCAGAGCAAGCCCGCTGTGACGTGGTCACGGGAAGGGTGGGAAATGCAGCCCCCTGTCTGGGCTAACGCGAGACGCTGCCGAGCCGCACGCAGCAGCTCGCCTGGGAGGGACAGGAGGGCCCTGCACTGCTTGCCCCACACGGCTGGACATGGTGGGTGCTGGGCGGGGGAGAGGTACTCACCCCATCACAGCCCTCGGCTGGACACGCCAGCTCCCTGGGAAGGGCAGCTTACAGACTTGGTGGGAGAAGCCTCATGACACACGAGTCCCTGGCCAGCCTGGGGGCACAGTCCCCTTCCTCGCCAACTGCTCCGAACGGGGCAGCCTCGAGGGAAAACCTGGCAGAGCCCCGCCTGCGCTTGCCCTTGCTAACACGGCAGAGGCACCGAGCACCGGGGAATCGCCTCTCTCCCAGATCCGTCCCGAAGCTGCAAAAAGCAGCCGCGCTAGAAGGCAGCAGGGGCGAGTTCCCCTTCCTGCGGGACAGAAACCAACAGAAAAATACCACGAATGGCTGGACCCAGACGCTCCCAACGTGAGGCTGGCAAAGCGTGTCCTCAGCTGCAGAGCCGACCGGAGGCGATGGATAGCCCGGGTCAGTCTCCCTCTGAGGGTTCTGAAGTCAAAAGGACAAACTTGGGAAACTCGTCGGCGAAGCCAGCTGGTGACTGAAGACCTCAGGGACTTGAACGCGGAGGGGACCATGGGAGCAGCAGTGGAGCCTTGGATGGGGGAGAGTAGGGGCGGCCTAAAATTAGCTGAACGCTTTGCCTCGGTTCTCACTAAGCAGGGTACTGAATACGGGCCCGGGGCAGGACGGCCTGCATGGGTGGGAGAGATCCCAGACAAGCCCTCGGACACAAGCGGGGCCAACACGCCATATCACCCAAAGGCCCGGGCTTCGTTCGCACACAAGCCAGTTCCTCGGGGCCGGGCTTCCAGGGTGCATCATTACTCTGCTTGGAGACGGGCGACTCTTCTGGCATTGTCCGCGCATACGTCCACACCCGGGCCTACACGCACTGTTTCCAAGTCACCCGATTGCCTAGGGACCCTCCCTGCGCCCATGCTCCAAACCCCGTGCCCACAGGAGCATCCTGCATCCCGCGTGGGCGCTAACGTCCCACAGCCGCATGCTCGCCCTGCCGCCCCCCACACGGGCCTCAGGCCGGTCTCAGCCCGCGCCTGCCCACGTCACCGCGCGACAGCTCGGTTCGGCGGGGAGCGCCGCACCAAAGCGCGGCAGCCTGGAGAGAGCAGTCACCAATCATCCTGCACCGGAGTGGCTGCTGCGGGGCGTTAATGAACTCATCAATGAGGCTCATTGGAGGTAAAAGCACATTCGTAAATCGCTTCTTCACACAGCATAAATGCCTCATTAATCCTAGACACGTCAGGCCTGGGAATAAAACCCAGCCCTAACAGAGCAGAGTGCAGTCAGGGAGGAGACGGGGGCTGCAGCCCGCAGCCATGTCTCCGGGGCTTGCAAAACCAAGGGCAGACAGCTCCCAGACTGACCCGGCTGAAGGGCAGGGTGCAGCCGTGTCGAACGAGGCCAAACCTGCCGCACGGGAGCTGGCGATTCCAGGTGCGTCCCCTCCCTCTCCACACCCTGCCCCCATCCGAGCTCCAGGGACCCCTGCTCTCCCCCGCTGCATCCTCGTGTCTCCCCGCTCACCGAGCTCTGGCCACTTGGCTCCAGGCTGCTGCCCCAGATGGCTCTGCCAGGGCCAGCCCCATGCCCCTCTGCACATCTGCTCCCCATAGTCTTAGTCTGCAGCAGGATGCACCTCTCTCCACCTGCCCTGCACCCAGGGCAGCGGAGCCCAGTGTGGGTGCCAGCACGGCAGCCGTAGCCGAGGACAGCGGCAAGAACGAGGAACAGCAAAAGACCATCTGGGGCTGTTGTGAATCCCAGGGGTTTTCAGAAGCACTTGGGCGACTGCCCTGAAGCGTCCAGAGAGCTCGGGACAGCCTTCCAGCACCGCAGGGTCCAGAGCAAGCACGGGACAGGCTGGTGTTCCCAGGAAGCACGGGGAAAGCATCACAGTGACACTTGCAATGGAGAGATAAGTCTCAGAAATGACCAAGGCTTGTCCTGCTACGGGAGGGGAGAAGGTTTTCAGAGAGAGGTCCCCGTCTGCCTGGCGATCAGGACTTGGTCTTGCCATGCAAGTGGCAGGAGGTGCCTCTGAAGTGCAGCCAGCCATAGTCAGTCCCCATTTCATCCCTAGCTGCCCCCATTCCTGTGCCCCGGTGCTGTGCTCAGCTCTTCTGCAATCAGTGAGTGCCTTGCAAACTGCAGGGCCTGGGGCTTCCCCTCCGGGACCAGAACAACACGTCCCAGAGCATCTATCGGGACGCGGAGGCTGATGACTGCATGCAGCACCAGGCTGGGAGACAGCCCGGTCACACGGCACACCCCTCCCAGCTCTGGCACACTTGAAAACACAGGCGGTAAAAGGCATCAGGGAACTTACAGAAACAAGTGCGTGATGCCCTAACCCTGTCCTGACTCCCTCAACGGCAGGCGTCTCCAGGAAAGGCTCGGGGCAGGGGAAGTAGCTGCTCCAATGGCAGAACTGCCCACAAGCAACCTGCTCTTGCCTGGGAAATGGAGGCTGCTCAGGGCAGAAAACCCTGGCAGCTCCTGGGCCCAGGCAGCAGCCCCTGAAGCGCCTACCGCATGGGAGAGACTCGCCCTCACACCTACTAGCAACGCGCCCTGCCCTGCACCCTCCCACTCATCAGGCTGGGGGAAAGCCATATGCCCCATGCGATTTGCAGGCTCAGCTCAGGAGGGTGCAGGTAGACGCAGACCCGCACGCCAGGGATACCCGCTCTCGCTCTGCTTTCCTTTGCAGCCGAAACTGAGGCCTGTGGGTCAATGGGAGCCAATGCACTGGGTTGCCCCAGTCTGCAGCTTGGCTCCATGTGCCACAGAGGCCAAGGCAAAGCCACGCAGGCAATGGAGCGGTGCGGGGGACCAGCGTCCGAGCCCCTGCTCCACGGCACATCCCGCCGCACGGGCCAGTGGCAGCCTGTCTGCCCTCCAAGCCAGTCGCACCAGGAGGAAGCCGCCAGCAGTGCACTGTCCCGTCAAACACCGAGGGGCTGAGTCACCCGCACGCTGTCAGCTTGTACTTCAAAGGGGTCCCAGGCAGCTGGCCAGCCTGACCACAGCCAGAGCCGCCTGCACGAGACATGACGGACGGGCTGAGCGCCCCAAGGGAGGAAGGACAAGGAGGTCTGGGGCAGCTCGCCCCACACTTCTGGGACCAGTACGGAGGACTGGAGTTGCTCACCCTCTGCGACTGGGACCAGCAAGGCCTTTCTCAGCTCGGGAGAGCACTTCAAGCCCTGAGCTGTGGGATGGACGGGGGCCGCCATGCTCTGCAGCGCTCGCCAGGCTGTCGGTCTCACTGCGTTCCTCCCCTGCCCCAGGGAAAGTATCCAGTAACTTCGGCTGAATTCCCACAGGATTTCAGGACACCTGAAACTGCAGCTTGACTGTTTGCCAAAAAACATCCTGCCCATCTCCAAAGACGACACCGAAGGGCACAAGTCAGGCCGCCCGGCCTGGGAAAGCGCGGCACTTCCCTGCAACTGATCCTTCAGGACTCTGCAAGCAGCTTCCTTCAGCAAAGCCGCAGCCAAGGAGACACAGGAGACAAGCTGTCAAAGCGCCGAGGCCACGCGACTGCTCAGGATCTTCTCTCCTTGCCAACTGCGCGACACGCCGCCTTCAAGGGCATGCCGGCCTTGCCCTTCCTGTGGGCACTCACAGCCCCACAGGTCGCTGCCCTTTGGCCTGTCTAGTTTCCGACTCCCAGTCTGGTACCTTTCCTCATTAACTGGCCTCTCTACAGCTGTAAGCAGTGCAGCCCCTTGTCCCCATAAACCCTTCCCAAGGGGTGCAGGGGCATGCTAACATCACACCTTCCTGCTTCTCCCCAAGAAGTGCGCACACCGGGTTTGAATCCTTCCCTGCTGCCAGCACCCGACGCTGCATCTGGTCAGCAAATCTCTCCCATGCGAGTCACCTATTTAATATCATGGCCTGAGCCTCACTCCACTTCCTAGCAGGTATTTCACAAACCTAAACATCATCCAGCTGGCACGGGAATGACTGCAGGTGGCTCAGCCTCCAGCACGGGACACGCAGCCCTGCTTCCAGCAGTCTGCCGAGCTCCCGGGCACTTGGGCTAACGTCATGTAACTATCTTCATCCACTGCTTATTGCAGTTGCACCACAACTGATTTTTCAAATTAATTTTTTGGGCAGGAAGTGCAAAATGTAGATCTGCACCCACCAGGAAAGCCAGGGGAGGGGAAAACTAACCACTAAAACAACTGGTTTTCAGGGAAAATTGGCACGATAGCCAATAGACACCATGCTGTGATCAGACCTGCACAGAAAAACTTGTCTAACTCTACCCCAGCAACATAGCAGGTCCCTGTTCTTTATATATTCAGATGCTCAAAAGGTGCCCGAGAAGATTCCCGAATTAGACACTTGTTTCCATGCTCGTGACTCCCCAAATGGTTAAAAAGTCTGCGGGCTAAAGATGAGCGTGAGATGTTGCCTCTCCAAGTGTCGTTTCTGTTCTTCCAAGAGGAGCAAGTGTCTGTCTGACAAGCAACAGCTTTCGCTGCCGTGCCTCTTCAGACAGAGCCAGCGCCGCCTGCAACTTCGCTGCAGTTGCGGTTTCCGTCCCCTGGCGATTAAAAGCAGAGCTAGCGTATTTAGTGCCTTCATGCGGGATCCTGACACTTATCTGAGGAAAACGAACCTGCAAACTCTCTACCTGGAGGGACTCCCACCCCGCCCCACCCCACGGACATGCACGATCCTGGCAGGGGCAGGGGCCGAGATGCCCAGTACGCAAAGGGGCAAAACCTGCTGCACCTGCTGCCTGCCCGAGGTGCGTGTGGACGTGCCGGGGGTCCCACGGGTGACGCCCAGCTCACGCACACACTACTTCCAAGCTCATTCTCCAAGGCTATTTGGGATTTGCAGTGATTATCTATAAGGGATTTAGCTCATTTTCCTCATCTCCTTCTCTGCAAATACGGCAGAGCCGCCAGGCCTAGGCCGAGACGTACATTCCTCCCTTTGCACAGCAATACGAGCAGCCTACGCCGGGCTTGGTGGGAAGCCGATGAGAGGAAGCAGAAGTTCCCTCAGCCGGCGCTGAGCACCCATTAGCCGTTATGGAAGACTGAAAACCGGCTTTTGCTAATAAGACGAAGTGCCCCGTCGACGCGGCCGGAAGCCGAGCTCTGAGCTGCAGGGGCCGAGAAGCCAGCTCTCGAGATGGGGCCGTGCCGTTGGAAAACACCATCTGCTTTGCGGAGGCTGACAGGCTGAGACTTCTGGTTAAACTCCAGCTCTCCTTGTTGTGAAGGGCTTGATAACTTGCGACTTGCCCTCAGTCCATTACCTTCTGCTTACTGAGTCAGAGAGCATATTATATCTCCCTGCAGAGCCCTCCAGCAGCTGGGCTATGTTATATTCTGTCTCTGTCTCGCTCGGCATTAGATAATGCAGCGAGGAGAGCCTTCCATCTCAATCAGGGAAATGCAAACAGAGAATTTCTGTTGTTTCAGCAAAGAGGCCAACTCTGACATCCTGGCTCAGAAACACACAGTCAGAGACATTTCTGCCTGCCAGTGTGGTTATTTTGATGAGGTTTTGTTTTACATGTGGATTAGATGAAAGACAATTAAGACTTGACTTCTTAATTGGGACTGGATGCATTTTAAATGGCATTAATGGACTTTCTCAACAAGAACCGCACGTTTTCTTTTCTCAGCGTAACTCAACTCTGGCAGAGCCGAGGACAGCGAGGCGCAACTCGAGTATCGGCTGAAACGTGAGCCCCTGTGCGCAGAAGCTAGGAAAGCCGCTCTGAAGTCGAGTAAGGAGTGGCTGAGTCAGCATTACTGGCTCAAAGTTACATTTCGGCTTCAATCCAATTAAAGAAAAACATTCTCCGCTGCACGCCGCCCTGCCCATGATCCTCCAGAAACATTTCTGGAATCAGACGACGTAAGCATTGCTGAGGACAAAGCGGCTGCGAGACCGATAATCTCAGCTAGAAGAGTTTCCTAATCCCAAGTGGCTTCGGTGGGCCCGGAGCTGGCAAAGTGGCGAGCGCACAAAGGACCAAAGCGAGCATGCGGGAGGTCCTCGGAAGAGAGCGCGAGCCTGCACGAGTGCCTCCCAGCAGCGCAGGGCTCCTCCTGGGACGAGACAAAGTGGCTGCAGTGAAACCCTGCGTGCAGAGAGCAGCTCAGCCCAGCGCTCCACCGCATTTCCCTGCCAGCAGTTTGCCTGCTGGCTCTGAGCGACCGAACCAGAAGGTGCCAAAGGCCCCAGCGAGGGACAAGAAAGGCCCCTCAGTCGGCTATTTGGCAACCCTGATTCTGCGCGGGCAGCAGGATCTCGGTCGCAGGCCTGGGGCTCCTGCAGGCAGGGGCACGGGCGAGTGAGGGCACAAGTTCTGCCAGGCTGAGAGCAGCAGGGCCGGTCCTCCCTTCCCTGCCAGCTCACCTGCTCCCGCCCCGGAGATGCGCCGCGAGCTCTGCGGGGCCGTGCCATGTCCCCACAACAACCCATGCCGGCTGAGGCCCGAGGTCTCAGCTGCTCAAGGTACACAGCTAACAGACCCCCTAAACTGCCCCGACAAACCCAGCAGGGAGCGAGTGCCTCCCTCCGGCAGGCAGCAGAGCCCAGGGGCATGGCCAAGAGCCGAGAGCTTGCTCCGGGCCAAGGGCAGGGCTTGGCCACAGAGCCCGGGAAGCACACCCCCCTCCTCTGGGCCCTGCCCTGGAGAGCCGGCTGAACGCCCAGGTCTCGCTGCACGGTGCTCGCCTCTCCTTCCTCGCCGTCAGGCAGCACAGCCCGGCAGACGGCCCCCACCTGTGCTGACCCCCAGCTGGGACCTCCTCCTGCGCCTGCAGCAGACGCAGCTACAATAAGCTCTTTGCTGCAATCGGGTGTTTTGCTAAATCCCTTGACAAACACATGGGGATGTCGGCTTCCCAGTGGCACCCCCATTCCCCTGCTGTGCTAACAGAAATGTTATCGGTGCTGGGGGCTGGCTCAGGGGTGGGCCCCTTGCCTCATCAACCCGCTTAGCCTCACACATTTGCCGTAATTTGTGTAAAGGAGGAAGGAGGCCAGGCGCTAATTGGAAAGCTGGGCTGTTGTGTTTTCTCCCGTTCACCTTATCTTCTTCATTCAGCTCTTGAAGACTCAGCTATTAAAAGAAATTAAGCAATTCATCAAGCCCATTTCAATTACCTGCTGCTGATAACATCAGCGCACAATTAGCATCTACAAATGAACCGAGTGCCAACTGCCAGGCAGAAGTAGAAGCTAATTTACAGTGTGGGGCAGCCTGCGAGCACTGGGATTTCCGGGGTGGCCAGCGGGCCAGGGGCCTTCCACTACCCCAGCTGCAGCCCCGGCTGCCGGGCAGACAAGGTCCCACGAAGGGGTCTGCTGCTGGGATACAGCTTTGCCCCTGGCAGGGGCTCCCAGGGCAGGAAGCGACTGCCATGGGGCAGGGTCCCCTCCAACCTGGTTAAAACCCTCCCTCCCGGAGCAAGGGCAGGCCAGGACTCAGGGGCCTGCTCCCCACAGCGAGAGGCAGACAGAGTGGGTGCTGCTCCGATGCTGCTACTCTTTGCACAGGCTTGGCAGATTGGCTCTGCCTGGACCTGGCCCAGGTGCCCCCGGGGCTGCAAAGCAGAGATCTGCCGCAGGGGAACAGAGCTTGCAAGCTGCACCCTCCTGCCCGAGCATGCGGGGACCGACGTCCACAGCAGGTGGGGCCTTACCTAGGTTGGAAGAGGCTCTGCCCTCGGCGGCTCGGTCCTGCAGGCTCTCGGCAATGCGCAGCTGCTCTTCGTGGTACTGCTTGGCCCTCTCCAGGTCCTGCATGCAGCGGGCAGCGTGGCCCAGCCCGGCATAGGCGCGCATCTCGATGGCCTTCTCGGCCAGCTCCTGGGCCAGCTCCAGCACGTGGTTGTGGTAGGACATGGCCTTGTCGAAGTTGCGCCGGTAGTGGTAGGCGCTGCCCAGGTTGCTGTAGGCGCGCGCCTCCTCACGCTGGTTGCCCATGGCCTTGGCGATGCCGAGGTGCTGCTCGTGGCACTGCACGGCGTTCTCAAAGTCCCCCATGGCGATGTACACTGCCCCCATGTTGCCCAGCTCCCGGGCCTCCGAGAGCTCGTCCTTGGACTGCTTGGCCAGCAGGACGCATTGCTTGTGGCTGGCCAGCGCGTTGGGGTAGTCGCCGATGGCTGTGTACACGTGGCCCAGGCTGCTCAGGGCCGAGGATGCTGCCTGTGGGGAGAGAGGAGGGAAGCGTGAGAGCAGCTGCACGGACCAGGAGGGCTTCTCAGACAAGGTAAGTTTGGGACTGCTGGGGGGAAGTCACCCCCCGCAACCTTCTTTGAGGCCTGCTGGACCCCAGTCGTCTGCTCTGGGCTTGAGCCAGGGCTGTCCTTGCTGCCTGGGCTCCAGCCCCACTTGCTCACCCAGAGGCACAGCTGGCAACCAGCGCCCATCCTGGCTGCTCCAGTCTCACCCTTGCACCAGTCCCCACCAGCAGCAGGCACAAATCAGGGCAGGGGAGAGGGGTCCCTTATCCTCGAAGGGCAAAAGCTAGGGATCCAGGCTTGTTCCCACCCAAACAGACCAGACCAGACCAGACCAGACCTGCCGTTTAAGAGGACAGTGCTTGAAACTCGGCTTCTCCTCCCGACCGCCCCAAGGGTGCTTGGGAGCAGGACTCTGCATCCACCTGGCAGGGACAACCAGGCCCAGAAGTCAGGCACCGCGCCAGGTGCGGGGGCCGTGTCCTAGATAGAGCTGATGCCTCAGCACAGCCGCAGCCGGCATACCAACCCCGCACCAGGGCCTGGACGACCCGAGGCTTCCCACATGCCGCGCAGCACGGCAGCGCTCCCAGGCCCGGGGGCACTGCAGATGGCTGCAAGATGACCTCTGAAGTGGAGCCGGCAAGGCCACTGCCCAGCCAGCCAGCAGGAGCCTGTCAAGACATCTCGGTGTGCCCAGGCTCCCCTGGCGCCTGCCTCGCTCCCGGGCTCCCTGCACTCAGGGCGCTGTGCCCTGCGGCTGCTCAGAGGAGCTTGGGAGCACCAGGTGCTGGCGCCGTGAGAAGGAGCTGGGAGATGATTTAGATGTGATGAACTACTTATTTACTGAAAAAAGGGCAGCTCTGAAGCTGCAGAAGGTGCCTGCAGACTGTCCGTGCGGCAGGGACGGGATGCAAGAGCAGAGGCTGAGAGCACCGCTCTGCGGACGCCCGCTGCCTGTCTCGGAGGGGGGAGACGGGGACGCAGATCCCTCAGGCGGCGAGAGGTGCTCCCACACCCTGGCTGAAGACCCCAGCCGCTGGGCCGCAGTGTGAGGCCACGGCTCCTCCAGCCTTCCTTACACGTACCCCCCAAACAAGCGTCCCCGGCGGGTGGAAGGAACGGCTTTGTTCTTGATGAAACCAACCCTCGGGTGTTTTTGGTGAGAAAACCCCCAAATGGGCAGCCCTGACACGACTATTCTGATGGCCCGGTTCAGCACCGAGCCCCAAACCATGCGCTACTCCCAGCCGCCCCAAGCGAGTGCCTTGCCCTGGGTCAGGGATGTGCCAGGGCTGTCCCCGAGGGAGCCACCGGAGCGGGACAGAGCCTGCTTTTCCCTCCCCAGGCAAGCCCGTGTCTCCCCCAGAGCTGAGGGCAGGCCTTGCAAACGCTGTTCTCCCGCTGGCAGCCTGGCACCGGGGCGGCGAAGCCTGCTCGCCTGGGTAATCTACGCTCTTCCTGATTTACCCTCCGCCAGCAGGGCCCAGCTCCTGGACTGGACACGTGCAATGGGTGGGGCAGGGATCCTTTCCGTCCCTGCCCCTCCCCGGGCATCCATGCCGCCGTGTACCACCGGACACGAGATGGACCATCCTCTTGCAGCAGAGCTGGCTCCACTGCTGTCACCTACTGCTCTTACCGGGAGCTGCCGCCTCCCCGCAGCAGCCCGACGTCCAGGGCTTCTGAAGCTGCGCCCGAAGGAGCCTTCCTAATGATTATTTTTATTAAAATTATATCCCAGCTGGAAGAATAATGCAATGTCAGGAAGATCTATGGGCCGAGTGAAGGGCTGAGGGCGGAGGCAATAAATTATTTCCATACTCGGCACCATTAAAGCAGCACCATTTCCAAACCAAGGGTCTGTACATGTGCTGTGTGGATGCAAATTAGCAGATTAATAAAGAAACCAGCTTTTTTGATACAAGAAGCTGAGGCGACAGATTAGCTATTAAACGCAATTTATAGGTCATAAGATATGAAAGTTGGCAAGAAGCTCTACTTCGGCCAGCTCCATAAATAGCAAAGCTGCATTTACTTTCCCTGAGGTATCCTTTTAAGCATCTTAATTATACCATAAAAACTGCCAGAATTTAAAACAACTTCATTTTTTCACTTGATGCTGCACATGAACTTGGTGCAACACAACTGGCAATGCCCGAGCAGCGCACGCCGCTGAGCTGCAGCTACCGGGGGAAACGCCGCAGCTTCCCGGGGAGGCTGCGAATCAGCAGGCAGATGACGAGGCCTCGGGCTTGCTCACAGGCCCCAGCTGGAGCCCAACGGGGTCCCTGCCAGCCCAGGAGACCGGGGCGCAGTGCAGATGCCTTGGCCCAGGGGTGGGGAGGCAGCGGGCTCTGGTAGCCCCGTGGCGGTCAGGGTTAGCGCTCTCCACACACGCTGGAAGGAGCCAGGGGTACGTTGTTTGGCTGCTGTGACTCGCGCCAGGCTGGCAGGCGTCCCCGACCTGCCCTCGCTCGCACTGCAGTGAGTTGCGCCGACCTGGCCGCTCTGCCAGCCCGGGGGCACGCAGCTCCACCAGAGCCGGCACGGGGCCTTCCCCCCAGGAGGAACCCGAGCGAGCCCCTCACGGAGGAAGGGCTCACGCTTGCAACAACACTGGCTCAGCAGACCGCTCCGGGCAGGACAGCCCGATACAGCCGCAGGGCACAGAGGGAGGGGGTCTTCATGCTCGGCGTCCGTGGGTCTGTACGGGCCTCCCCACTGAACACCAAACCTGGCCCCACCCCCGACTGCCGCAACTCCTCCCTGTGCTGAAACGTTTTAGGCCGTTAGCAAGAGTCTGGCATCCAATGAGCTAAACGAAAGCTGAAAGGTCCCAGCAGAATCGTAATTTCTCTGGGCACGGACCTGGCCCCAGGCAGCCGGCTGAGGAGGTGCAGGCGCTCATGACCTCGGGAGAGGGGGTGGCTGAGGAGGCCCCGGCTCTCCCCGCCACTGTCACTGGGCGACCCAGCCTGCTCCCCACGTGCAGCTGCAGCCCCGCGCGGAGCAGGGCCGAGACCCCGTCCATTCGGGCAAGCCTCACCGCAGCGCGAAGGAGGTCTGGCTCTTTGGACAGGGTTCACAGGCAATGCAGTGAAGTAACTCCTTGGCAGTTGCTAGCAAGATCCTGCAGCTCCGTCAGGGCGGGGCGATGGAGCCTGGGCCGAGGCTGCTGTGGACCTGGAGGCGGGGGGGGAGTTTCTGCTTAGGGACGTTTAATTTCTATTGAAAGCAGCTCGATATTGCATCCACACCCTAAGCCCAATGGGAAAAACACGCGTGCAGATCCCAGAGCACTGCAACCGCACCACAGGCACATGCACAGGGGCTCCTGCGATCTCTGGGACAGTGGCCTCCGGTGCGCCGCAGAGCCAGGCCACTCTCTCCACCCGTGCGTGGTTAGTGGCTCTGATGCCAGCAGAACGAACCTGTACCTGCCCCACGGCCTTGCAGGGTTGCGGACAAAACCCATGGGCCTGTTTGCTGCCGACCTCAGCAGCATCGGGTTCAAAGGCTGGAGAGGAGGCACATCCCAGCCGTGCCCGAGCCCTGCTGCAGAGATCCCAAGAGGGAGCCCGCAGGAAGCACCCGGGCCTGGGGACCAGTGCAGCGGGTGAAGGAGAGATCTGGGCAACTGGGGCAGCTCATTCCCAGGGCTTGTAATTCGTGAATCCACCGTCGCTCCCAGGCACAGGGAAACACTCGCGTGGGGAATGTGGGTTTGCCAAAGACCACCTGAGCTTGGGAGAAGAACTTTGGCCTGCCAAAGCCAGGCATCCAAGAAGAGTGGTCGCTCCTTAAGGAGACGATCCTCCAAACCCAAAGGAAGGTAATCCCAACAAGGATCAAAGGGAGCAGGAGAGCACACAAGCCTCCATGGCTCACCAAAAGCATCCAGGAAT